CACAAAACGGTAAATAAATAAAATAAAAGTATTGTGTCCATCTATAACTAACAAATATTTTAAAAAATAATAATTGATATTAAAAAAATTTCATGACAACAAAATCTAAGAAATGACATACTGTGCCAAGTCAGAAGGGAACATGACAGTATGGAACTAGATTAATATGAAATTCCTTCTACCTCTCTTTGTTATTCAGGAAAATGGAACTCAGTAATATCATTGCATGTAAGAAGTCAGCATACAATATTATGTGTTTCACCTAGTATTAAGAGTAAAATATAGGGAAAAATAGAAAGAAAAACTGAAGAAAAATTAAGTGGTAAAAAAAAGCATCTACTACTAAATCACTTCTCTGAAAGTTCCCCAGCTTAGTGGATCTGAGAATAAGGGTTTTTTCTTTATCAATTTCTCACTACTAACAAATTGTTTCACATGACTATGTGGAACTATCAGCATTATCAAATTTTAAATGTTAAGAAAATAACAATATAAAAGCTGGTTTTGGATTTTGTTTTTGTTTAAAGTGAAAAATAGATTTTGCATATCATTGCTTATATTTATATTTCATCTCATCACATAGCTACTTCTATCTCCCTCAAAATACCACGACTCCTTGAAAACAATGATCCTCTGTCCCACTGTCTGGCTGTTAAATTACAACTATACATGCCCTGATAGAATATGTTCCTATTAAAATTCCTTGAAGGACCTATTTAAGAAGTCAGTTGACTTAGTCAATTTTCTGCTTCTGCAACAAAATACCACAGAATGGGGAATTTATAAACAAGAGAGGTTTATTCAGTCCTCCATTCTGGAGGGTAAGAAATCCAGGATGGAGGGGCAGCATCTGGTGAGGGATTTCTTACTGGTTAATGTGGTAAAAGGGCAAGCAAGTGTAGACACAGAAAATATAGGCTGGAAAGACAAAGTGATTAGCACCCACTATCAAGAATAGCACCTACTGTCAATCAGAAAAACAGTGCTGGTGCAGTTTTCACACACAGCTCTAAATGCTTCTTCCCTTCGATTAGATAATAACTGTAAATTACACAAGAAAAAGAAAATATGAGGAACAACTGAGTAAGAGAAAAATTTCTTTTAGAAAAATCAATGATACTATAGTGAGAGGTATGCTTAAGTATTAGGACATCAAAAATATATAGTTATCAGGATTTTAAACATTTAGGTATTAGAAATTTATATATGCACTCTAATAAATTACAAAATTATATAATTTTAATTAATTAGGGTATTCTTGAATTCTTTGAAAGTAATTGTTTTAGGTGTCATCCAAATAGTTTATGAACTTACTGATGACAAACAGATTAAAACTCAGGTCTTCACTATTGATGGTTATCTTGAGAAAAAGTAATAAAAGATGTTTTTGTGTAGAGACCATAGTCTCCTAAAAGGGAAAGTTTCATTTTCAAGCTCCCTCACTGGCTCAATCCCAGTGACTGCACAGTAGATCCGCTCCATCACACCTGCCATCTCCCATCCGTGCCACAAGCATTAACTCAGACATCCTCATAGACTGGTGAATGATGTAACAGTTTTAAGCCTGATTTTGATGACCAAAA